GCCCCCCAAGCACCGGCTCCCCGTGGTGGAGGTAAGAGGGCTCGGCCCCCCCAAGCCGGGCTGGCGGGCGGGGGGCGGCTCTGCGGGTCCCCCCAACTTCGGGGGTGTTGTCCCAGCAGCAGCTTTTGGGTTTGTTTTCTTATTTTTTTTTTTTCTTCTTTTCCTTTTTATGTTATTTTTATTTTAATTATTTTTTTTTTCAGCAGAAGGGAAATTCTTTACAGAAATGCAGGAAAAAAAAAGCACCCCAGTATTTTGCTGAATACTTTTTATAATGTGAGATATTTTTATTTTATTTTATTTGGTCACTTTAAAACAACCACCCAACTATGGAGGAGAAAAATCAATTAGTCCTCTATTTTATTTTTTTTTTATTTTTTTTTCTTTCTCCTTCTGGTATGTGCATGTCATTGCATGACTGCTCTGATTTTTTTCTTCTTTTGTTTTAATAAAACTGTGCTCAGACATTTAAGCTAAACTAAGCAAAAATAATAATAATGACTTAAAAAGAAAAAAAAATCTTTGTTGCCAAAAGGTCGTGCTATCCAGGTTTGATGTCTGCATGTGAAAAAAAAAAACTACAAAAAAACACATTAAAAACGTACAAAAAATAAAGAGAAGAGGAAGAATGCAGTCTAATTTATGTGAACTGAAAGGAACAAAAAAAAAAAGAAAAAACAAAAAAAAAAACCAAACAAACCACAATCAGGTTTAACCACACAAACCTAAGGGAATGATATTTTTTGAAAGACTTTTGTATAAAGTTGAGTACTTAGAGAAAAAAAAAAATCATACCAGATGTAATATATTTTGTGGATGTTTTTATTTCTTGGATTTATAGTACCTTATACTAAGGTTAAAAAAAAAAAATTATGCTTGATATTGTGAAAAGGTGACAATTTTCACACACATTTCATTTGCTCATTTGTCATGTTGTAATGCAAATATGATAGTTAATGCATACAGCATTTTTAAGGGAAAAAATCAGAAATATTGAACTGATGTATTGTTGTACCATTTGCACTGTGAGCAAATGCTAATGCAGTAAATATATTGTGTTTGCTGACAATCAAAATCTGTAGTAAATATCTTTATTTGCTTAAAAATGATCTATACTGCTCTGGAAAGAGGAAAAAAAAAAAAAACCAAACCAACCAGTAACATGTAAGGGGGTTGTAAAACGTGCAGGGAAGTGGGTGCTGTGTCTCCTCACGGGCGACTTTGAAACCTGTTTGTACGGACTTTTCTTTTTCTT